TATAAGGCCCTAAGTAAATTGGCATTTTTATATAGCTCTATACAGTTAAAGATAGAAAATTTTATAGTTTTATATAGCATCTGTGCTGTTCAGAATCTCCTTTTCCTTAAATTTTTCCCTGGCCACAGTAGGTAAATAATATCTCAGGGTGAGCTATTTTCAGCTCTTTTTGGCTCTATGGGATGCTCTTTAAATGTCATTTTACTTTTTATCCAAAACATTTCATTGGAAATTGTTAAATTTCCAAATTGTAAGGCAATTGTCGACTTTGCTGACTCTTGACCTCATGACTTCATGTAGGGTTCATAGCACAGGCAGGAAAGTTGAGGTATGGCCATGTAGCTTTAAATTAGAGTACCCTTTTCACTCTAGATGTGTCTTAATTTATGTTTTTGTTTACTTTATAATATATACCTCCAAATTAACTTTAAATTTCAAAAATTATAGGGCAAAATATATTTATCTGTCATCTGAAATTTTATCTTAGTGAAAAAAAAAAGTCCAAGATTGGTTGAGAAAATTTGGCATTTAAACTGGATCATACTGACTTTCATGGGATTAATAATTCACATATTTTATCGCATTTGGGGCATTTCAGTAAGTCCATTATACCTATAATTTCTGTGCAGTCAGTAAATTTTGTTGCTTTTAAAACCCATGAAATGAAATATAGGTTTGAAAAGCCATAACACTATCAATACATTAATATTTATGTAGCTCTTTTCATGACAAACATTCTAAAATGCACTTCAGTAAAATAAAGTGAAATAAAGCATGAAGAGAATGTGGATGATTACAAGTCAAAAGGTCGCTTTAAAAGACAAATCACGTGAATCTGTTTCGCAAAGTGATTGACCAGTTTCAACCAAAGATAGCAACTCCACTTAGGTGACCTCTTAGCTTGGAAGCTAGAGGATTAGAGGCAGCCTCTCATAAAGCAGGCAAATGTTATAATTAACAAGTCGAATTCAGCAAAGCCTTTCTAATCACTCAGATAAGACAACTTCATTCCTATTGAACTATAAACTAACTAGGGCTTCAGCCCAGGGGCCATTTTCATAACTTTATTAATGTGACTTTGCAGTTTTAAATATAAATAAGGGTAAATAAACTGATAAAACACAGTCATAAAAGCATCTTTAATTTATTGTGTGATATTATTTACTTCACACATCACAGAAACAAATTATTGATATAAATTATGCTAATTTCTTTCTATGATGAGGTCACTCATGAGTAAAAAATAAATCTAGAGGACAAATGCCCTTTAATGTAGACCTGCTGCTTCTCTAAATGTGGATTGTCTCCACCTAATTTCCTTTGAAAATGAACAATGCTATGTAAAGATATTCTTCACTTTAAGTCATGTTTAGTTTAGAAATGATGGGAAAGTGGGGGGAGGGGAATAGGTGAAGTAGTAACACATCCTTGAAGTATATAATCACAGGAAAGAAAGAGCCTGGAAGGTCATGTGATAGTGAAATACTGTTGTTGTAACAGTTTGAAGTACCAAAATTCTTTCAATGACTCTGGAAACTTATTTTTGTCCCTAGATATGCCTCATCACCCTGCAAAAAAGAAAGCTACTCTAAAGATGGATTACTGATTTTTCCCCCACTGAATCTGAGAAGCTTTAGGAAAAAGGTAACCATTATCCACTCATTTTAGCTACATATTCATTCATGTAATAAGAAAGGACAGAAATGAGAAATAACCAAGGGTTTCATCACACTTATGATATTCCACTAAGGCTCAGTGTTTTTTTAAATATAATTACACATGGTAGTAATAAAACCTATTGACTTAATGCTCTCCCTTTCTTGGGGGCCAGTATTCGGTTGCCAAGGCTTGGAGTGCAGTGACACAATCTCGGCTCACTGCAACTTCTACCTCCCAGGTTCAAGTGAGTCTCCTGCTCCAGCCTCTCGAGTAGCTGGGATTATAGGTGCCAGCCACCATGCCTGGCTAATTTGTTATTTCTGGTAGGGACCTCAGGTAATCTGCCCTCCTGGGCCTCCTAAAGTGCTGAGATTACAGGCATGAGCCATTGTGCCCGGCCTGTATGTAATAATTTTCTAATGAAAATAAGGCTTAGTTCTCTATATGATGTCCTTAACAGTGATTCTCTGTTCCGTGGAGAATTCCCTTGTCTGACACTAACATTTCAAAGCTCCACATGGCTTTTAAGATAAAATATACCCTGATCTGAATCCTTCATGACCTTCCAGCTTCATGTGCTATCACTCAGTTACTTACATATTATGTTCTAGAATGTCCTGAAATACCTTCCTGACCTTGCCTTACTAACTTTTCCTTATTTAAGACTTAATTGAGGCATCATCTCTTCTAGAGATATTTTATAACGTTCCTTTTTTTTCTTTGAGCCTGAGACAGTGGCCCTCTTGGATAGGTATTACCCCAGTGCCTTATGTTTTCCTGTGCCACTATGTTATTATTATAATTAACTGAGTCACATATGTGAATATTAGAAAGTAGATACTTGAGTTAATTTACCTGTCTTCTAAACATTTGTGAGAGTTCATGACATTTAGTAGAAGCTCAAAATTATTTGAAGAAATAAATAACATCACTAAGCAAATAGTTTAACTTTATATAGTTGCTATGCAGAAAAAAACTCATTGCATTAGTGTGGCCTGTCCAGAGATGCTCATTCCCTTCTTAGAAATAAACACCCATAACTTATAACATTGCCAGATGTTTGTAGCTGGCTCCTAAAATTAAAGAAGTCCTAATTTCTTCCCTAAAAGAGTGTATATTAGAACTATTAGGTAACCCAGGGGGCTCTTTGAAAATTAAATTAAGAAGCAAAGCAAAACAAAATTAAAAATTGGGTAAAATACATCTATGTGAGATGTATTTGGCTAAAATGTCTGCTAATGCCCTGAAATTTGTGGATCACAGGCAGCCTTTTTGCTGGGTTATCAAAACACTTGCTTATAAAACCAGAATGCAGTTAATTGTCCTTTTTAGATAGTTATATCTTTTTTTATCCCAAATTACAGACTTACTAGTTTAACATCTATTCATTCTAAAATGCTTTGCTAGATAAATTATAAGCTGTAGTTTTTCAAGCAAGTATTTTTTTAAAAAGCATAGACACAGGTATTCCATTATTCACCTCTGTTTTATATTTTACCACCTTGAGGACTAGTTCTTGGTATTAACATGATTGTTTGCAGCTTTAATTGAGATACCTTCCCTTCCCCATACACTTTTGATGATGGATAGAAATCAGATATGGGCTAAGACCCTGGGCTGGTGATGTTCATATAGAACCTACATTTAATATTTGCAGTGCTTTTTAGACCTTACTTTGTGGGTGCTCTGCATCTGAATTATCTAGGATGATTGTTAAAGGTGGACATTGGAACCCTTCCAGATACTGAATCAATCTTAATTTCTGAGTGTGAGCCAAAAAATATGCATTTTAATTATTGACTTTAAAAAAAACGTATCACTAATGGAGAAAGGTGGGCTCTGTTATAACTTCTTTCAGTAGAATATATTGTGAATGTCTTATTCTGACATCGATATATCATTCAGTAAATGTCTATTGACCATTTTACTATGTGTTAGACTGTTTTGGTAGTGGAGGAAATGAAGGTGAAAAAGGGAATTAAGAAGATTTGGGTTTAGGGAATTGCCAGGCAACATACATAAAAAAAACCTAAATAATTATAAACAAGGATTATCCCCTCACCTTCACTCTAAAGTACTGGAAACTAAGCATTTTCTTTTGTGTAGACAGCAAGTTTTAGTACTTGCTAGACTAGAAATAGTCTTCATAGCAGAAAACATCACATATCAACTTCTCCAAAACTAAGGTGTCATGTTTGTTTCAACAGGCCTCCAGTTTCAAATTGGTGTATAAATAATAATGCTGTTCCATGACAGGATTTCTCATCAAGTTGATGCTTAGAAATCTAGATTGCAATGATTTTTATCTTTTTAGGGCATACCAGGAAGTTTTATTGCTCCAAGCTCTAGTCTTCAAATGAATGCTTTCTAGAGATTTGATTTATTATTTAATGGGCAAGGTAGATTGTTCGGTTTTAGTTGCTTTAAAATTTTCCCATACCTAAATTACAGTTCTGTTTTGTGACACAGAAGCTAGGGCTCTCGCCTGCTCTGTTGTCTGTGTGTGGTGATCTGTCTTCTCAAGGAGACCCTTGCCTTGCCACTGGGGTCTTCCTTAGTCTCTGCATAGCATGAATGGCTTGACCTTCCATGTTGACACTTGTCCCTGTTAAGCAACTCTGTTTTCATTAAAAAATGGTAGTTACACTTCTGGCTTGGCAGGCTGATAAAACATTTAGCTGGTCACTGAACTGTTACCATGAGCTTTAGATACTCACTCCAGTTGATAGTCTTCACTCACTGCCATACCGTAGCCATTGAGAAGTTTACCACAACAATATTCTCAATAATGTAAAAATCCATCATTGGATTAAACCAAATCGTTACATTTTATCAACATCCCTGTACTATTGATTTTATTATATTGTCACTTTGGCTTATGTCATCAGCTTATATTGAAGGATATCATCAGAAACCACCCTGTGGGGTTTTGTGACATATTTACTGTAGAGATTATGTTTCTTGGTTCACAACATGAAGAGAAGCCTTATAGGAGTCTGTGAGAGAATTTCTGTTTCTGATTCTGAGAAATTGATGTATCCTTATCTTGCAAACACAGTGAATTACTTAAGTAGTCATGTTTTTCTGTTCCTGCTGACTGATCAAAAAGTACTGACATATTTGTGATTTCTCTTTACTGCGTGCATAGGATCCTGTGGTATATATGTTCTGTACTTATATCCTGGTACCACATCACATTTTATTGCCCTTAATTTTTTATTGCCTCAAATTTTCTCCAAACTAAAAATATGTTTTATTTTTCTACTGTATATATTTCTTAAGATGTCCTAAACTATTTCTAGAACAAGGCAAGGTTACAGTTGTACATTTTTTTTTCCACATGTACGAAAGCTCCAGAGTTTGCAAGGGACACGAGTGAACTCTCCAAGCACGGGGAAGTACTTTCATTGATTCCTTTCCCTGCACTATGAATGACCAGGGCATGGGCAGCCCATGATCACTTTTGAATACAGGGGCAATTTTTTTTTGAAGTTTGTTTGTTTTTGTTTTTTAAGATAAGAATGATCACTGAAGATTACATTGAAAAGCTCCAACCTATAACAATGGATAATCCAAAGAATATTTGTGAGATAGAATTAGTGAGAGTGGGTGGAATAGAAAATGAGGTAAAAGAGAACTCGAAGCAACTTAAGTAACAGAATGGACTTTGGTAAGCACTTGTAATATAGGCCCATATATTTTCCACATTTGGGATTTGTAATTTCAGCTGTTTCCTTCACAAATATTGTTCCTACAATTGAGAGTACAGAATCAGGCAGATAGGAATTACACAATCAACTAGAACTAGTTTGGACCAATTTAGCATTGAGTGCTTTAATTGTGATAACTGCTGTCCTATATTTGGTAATATCAAGTTTGACTAATTAAACCTTAATTACTATAGATTATATTCATGGGAAATCATTTCATTTTACTGTTGGAAACACTGAATATAAAAGCTAGAAAATCAGTTAGAGAACATCCAGTCTAATGTGTTTATTAATAATTTCTGAAACTGGGGATCAGAAATGTAATGTTACTTGCCCAAGTTACTTGCAACCAATTAGTTGAAGAAGCAGAACTAGAATAGAAATCACTTGATCCATGGACTAGCAACAACTCAGAATGTAAAGTTATTACAAGTCCTCCTGTTGAGGGCTTTGCACCATTTTCTTTACAGAGGCCAAGTTCAATATCTAGCAGAAGTCGAGACAGAGAAAGGCGTTACTGATATGAGAGGATACTTGTTAGGGCCATTCATGGTCTATGCTGTTTCCAGCATCTGAAGATGAGGTGAGCTGAAGGTGAAACATGGGAAGAGGGCAATAAGGACAGTTAAATGATAAAACTATGTCAGAATGGCTCTAGTAATTTGAGTCACTAATGAAGATAAATATAGGTAGATCTATCCTTGCCCTTTAAGTGTATATTGAAATAATTATCCTGATAATCTAGGAAAGGACCACATTTTTGTTTAAAATCAAGATGAATGAGTCTAATAGAGTTTTAGGGATTTTTATTATCTCATTTAAAAAAATTTATTTTTGATAGTGTAACAAAGCAGTCGCTATTAAATTTCTGCAATTATAGACTAAAACTTGCTGCCAGAGAAAATTGTGATTGAAAGCTTAGAATTTTGGGAATTTGTTTATTGTAAACAGTCAATCTGGAGAGGTCAGCTGAGAATAATATTGCTCCTGTAACACAGGAATTCTTTGTTTTGTTGTGAGTTGTAATTGCTGGAGCGCCTAATCATACAGGTAATGGCCCTAATTATGTTTATTTTATTTCAGTCAGCAAAACTGCATTTACATGTAGCTGACACATCAACTCTGAGGATTCTTTCTGGTGTTTGGCCCTCAATCTCTTTAAATCTATTACATGAAATAACAGTAAAAACAGCTTTACTCTCCCTTGTTTATACCTTTGGCTAATAATAATGACCTCTTCTATTTTTTGAAATTATTATTTTTTAACTTTTAAGTTCAGGGGTACATGTGTAGGTTTGTTACATAGGTAAACATGTGTCATGGGGGTTTGTAGTACAAATTATTTCATCACCAGGTATTAAACCTAATACCCATTAGTTATTTTTTCTGATCCTGTCCCTCCTCCCACCATCTACCCTTCAATAGGCCCTAGTGTGTATTGTTCCCCTCTATGTATTCATGTGTTCTTACCATTTAGTTCCAATTATAAGTGAAAACATATGGTATTTGGTTTTCTGTTCCTGTGTTAGTTTGCTAGGGATAATGGCCTCCAGCTCCATCCCTGTTCCTGCAAAATACATGATCTCATTCTTTTTTTATTGCTGCATATCATTCCATGGTGTATATGTATCACATTTTCTTTATCCAGTCTATCATTGATGGGCATTTAGGTTGATTCCACATCTTTGCTATTGTGAACAGTGCTGCAGTGAACATATGCATGCATATCTTCATAATAGAACAATTTATATTCCTTTGAGTGTATACCCAGTATTGGGATTGCTGCGTTGAATGGTATTTCTGTCTTCAGGTCTTTGAGGAATCACCATATTGTCTTCTACAATGGTTGAACTAATTTATACTCCCACTGACAGTATATAAGCATTCCTTTTACTCCACAACCTTACTAGCATCAGTTATTTTCTGATTTTTTAATAATACCATTCTGATCGGTGTGAGATGGTATCTTACTGTGGTTTTAATTTGCAGTTTTTAATGATAGTATTGTTGAGCTTTCTTACATATGATTTTTGGCATATTTGTCTTCTTTTGAAAAGTATCTGTTCATGTCATTTGCCCACTTTTTGTTTGTTTTGTATTTCTTTTTTAAATTTAATCTAATTTTAGGTTCTGGGATACATGTGCAGGATGTGCAGGTTTGTTATGTGTTGCATGGTGGTTTGCTACACCTATAAACCAATCACCTAGGTATTTAGCCCCTCATGCATTAATTATTTATCCTGATGTTCTCCCTTCCCATCACCAATAGGCGTCAGTGTGTGTTGTTCCCCTCATTATGTCCATGTGTTCACATTTTTCAGCTCACACTTATAAGTGAGAAGATGTAGTGTTTGGTTTTCTGTTCCTGAATTAGTTTGCTCAGGATAATGGCTTCGGGCTTCATCCATTTTTCTGCAAAGGACATGGCCTCTGTTTTTTATATGGCTGCATCGTATTCCATGGTGTATGTGTACCATATTTTCTTTATGCAATCTGTCATTGATGAGTATTTGGGTTGATTCCATGTTTTTACTATTGTGAATAGTGCTGCAGTGAACATACACCTGCATGTATCTTTATAATAGAATGATTTATATTCCTTTGCCCACTTTGTTATTGGGATGTTTGTTTTTATCCTGTAAATTTGTTGAAGCTTCTTTTAGATGCTGGATATCAGATCTTTGTTGGGTGCATAGTTTACAAAAATTTTCTCCCATTGTGCAGGTTGTCATTTTACTCTGTTGATAGTTTCTTTTGCTGTGTAGAAGCTCTTTAGTTTAATAAACTCCCATTTGTCAATTTTTGCTTTTGTTCCAATAGCTTTTGGCATCTTCGTCATGAAACCCCTGCCTGTGCCTATATTGTGAATGGTATTACCTAGGTTGCCTTCCAGAGTTTTTTAGTTTTGGGTTTTACATTTCAGTGTTTAATCCATTTTGAGTTCGTTTTTGTATATAATATAAAGAAGGGGTTCAGTTTAATCTTCTGCATATGGCTAGCCAGTTATCCCAGCACCATTTATTGAATAGGGAAGCCTTCCCCCATTACTTTTTGTCATGTTTGTCAAAGATCAGGTAGTTGTAGGTGTGCTGTCTTATTTCTGGTTTCTTTATTCCATTCTATTGGTCTATGCTTCTGTTTTTGTACCAGTACCTTGCTGTTTTGGTTATGGCTGCCCTGTAATATATTTTAAAGTCAGGTAAAATGATGCCTTTAGTTTGTTCTTTTTGCTTAGGATTGCCTTGGCTATTAGGGCTCTTTAGGTTCCATATGAATTTAAATTTTTTTTTCTAGTTCTTTGAAGAATGTCAATAGTAGCTTAATAGACATAGAATTGAATCTATAAATTGCTTTGGGCAGTATGGCCAGTTTAATGATGTTGACTCTTCTATCGATGAGCATGGAAAGTTTTTCCATTTGTTTTTGTCATCTCTGATTTCTTTGAGCATTGGTTTGTAGTTCTCTTTGTACAGACATACAAAAGGCTTTCTAGCACATCATCTTTTAACTTTCATAGCTTCATGAGGTAAGCAAGACAGGTTCAGTTATTCTCATTTTATATTCAAGAAAGCTGAGAGCCAGAGGAGTGCTCTCCCGTGTCTAAGGTCAGAAAGTGAGTCAGGGTGGAACATGCACCACAGTCCAGGTCTTCTGGCTCCTGGCCACTGCCTTTATCAATCCTATTATCCAGCCATGGTCTTGGTCAGTATGACCTCTCTGGTGAATCAATTTTAAAAAATGACAACATGCATTCCTGTTTCTAGTTTCCTTCTCCAAACTCTTCCTCTAATTTATTTGCTCACTTCGATAGAGTAATCTTTCTAAACTTGAATTTAATATGGAAGATAATTGCCCTGTGGCTTTTATTTTGATGGTATAATGGGAGCCTATTAGGGATTTATACTCAGACATAGCTAACCTGGAAGTGTGGGGGAGTTAATGCCTCATGGAGAGAACTTTTGACCAATGGGAACTGGAAGTCAGTGTTGAAACTCTTCCACTATTATCCCCCTTTTCCATCCATTGACAGACGGTTCTGAAATCAAGTTGGCCCATGGCAATTTGTTTCCAAAGATGGAATAATTGGTTGTAGTTAGCACTGCTAGCTGCAAAATGTATCATATTTACTCTCTTCTTGGCAGCTTCACTTCTCTTACTCCTTACTTCCTTACTCTTGTTTCCTAGAGTAGTATAACCTAATAAAATATTACCACATGAGCACTTAGTCTCAGACTCTGATTTCTGGGAAAGCCAGGCTAAAATGCCAGGTTCATCTCTGTCTTACTTTTGGCTTAAGGAGTTCTTCCCTATATTCCCACTTGGATTACCTCATTCCTCCTCCCTGTTGATCCAAATCTTATTCCTCCTTCAAGGTAGAGTAATGTGTCACTTGTTCTAGGATTGTTTGTTATAATGTTCCTGGCCCCCATGTGATCTATTTTTTTATCTCAGAAACCTCCTACACCCAATGAAAACCACAATATGTTTGTATTTCCTGTGATAAACAGTAAGACAGTTTTGTATAAGCTAAATTCCCTTGCTAGTTCATAAACACCTTTAAGATCTTAGGTTATTTATTTTTGTATGCTTAGCACCTGACAGAGTATTCAATGATTATTTCCCAATTGCTCATAATACAATGGAAGGGAGAATTGCTCATTCTGATCAACTTAATCATCCATCTAATTGATGCAAGATCACTTTGGATGAATCATGTCTGAAGGATTGTGACAGTGCAGCTCTGCTGTAGTTTGATGATTTGTTC